ATTAAAATGCTAAGCGTAGCAATGAAAGTTAATACTATGTGTTTTATTGTTAAACCGTTATAAATACTCTTCTTAAGGGTACACAACCCTAGAAAACAGACTTTGAGCGTGAGTTTTGCTGAGTCTTGAGTCAGCCACCATCTTGCCACCTTCTCCTCCATTGTTGTGAGCCAAGGAGCTTCATTTCTCCTTGGTTTCTTCTCCAAAATACCTTGGGTGATTGGGAAACACTTGGGTGAGTGTGTTGTGAGCTCCATTTCTGAGTTGGTGGGCTGTATTGAGGGCCCTTGGGTGCTAACTTTGGGAGTTGGTGTAGTTGAGCCATGGTCATGGCATTTTGAGGTCCAAGTGGTGACCTTTGGTGTGAAAGAACCTACCTTTTTGAAGGCATTTTCGTTTGGTGTTGTTGTGTGAGCTCCAAGAGCACCCATTTTGCTGAGTTTTAACTGTGGTAAGTTGTACCAACCTTGGTCTTGAGTTTTGTTGCTTAAAGATGAAGTCTTGCCATGTTTATTGAATTAAACAAGTAACCAACTGTCATATGAACCTTAAGATGCATCTTTAAGCTTCTGGAAGTGTTAAAAATGGAACCTTGGAAGGATATCTTCGCGAAATGCAGAAATTACATTCTGTCGTGAAATATCCGGATATTTGCCCGTGGAATATCCGGATATTGATATCCGGATATGGGGATCTAGATATCCGGATAGTCATATCCGGATATTGCCAGAGTAATATCCGGATATTGGATATTTCCTGTGAGATATCTGGATATTGGATATTCGAATATGTCCTCGAGGAATATCCGGATAGTCTGGGTTTGCGTGGAACAGTAGCGTATTGTTCATCCAGAACTGATCTATGGGTTTGTGGACCCTAGTTTGAGGAAGTTGAACTTCTGTAATTAATTAATATAAGTCAGAATCATATGATTAAGGGCTTATGGCTTGTGTGAAGCCTTAAGACGTAAAACGTAATGGAAAGACGTTGTCTTAATAGTGTATGCTTGCGGTGCATGTTTATTGATATATTATTGGTCCATAACAGATTGTGAATCTGCTGTGTTTGGACTTTCAGCTGTGGACTCTTGGCTTTGAGTGTTAGCTTGCAAGGTAAGCTTTTGTGTCCTCGGTTTAGCCATATTGTGGTTCCACCATGTGCCATGGGGACATGGTTATATGCATGCTGTGTTACATGCTTTTGATATATGAAATGTCGTTGAGCTTTATGTGTTAATGGCTTTTAATATGCATGTGTTGTTCTATCTTGACGGTAAGCTTGAGTATGTGGCGTCATACAAGACGGTGATCCGGGGTGGATGCAAGTAGCATCTTGCACTATTTGTGGGTATTAGACGTATATAAATCCTGCATTTCTCTGGCCAGTAGAATAGAATTGACACACATGACATGATTATCTGCTGCATTGCACTGTTTTGGAAATGATATTGATGAACTGCTTTTAAACTTATATTGCACATGTAAGTGAGCTTGGGGTGGAAGATCCTTGAGGACCCCTTGTCTTACTGAGATTTCTTGTTTAGAGATCTCACCCCATGTTTGGGAAATGCTTATTTCAGGTTCAGGTAGTATGGTGACTCATGCCTCTGGCGGCAGGAGGCCAGAGCTTAGCTGATTAAGATATTTATGTTGTATTGCTGTCATGACTGGATTGGATGCTGTTTATGTTTTCTGCTCTTTATGTTTTGAGTTGAGACTTATGTTGGGCCTTGTTGCCTTATTTGGGTGAGCATGGGAGTTGTCCATGCCACTATGTTGTTTGTACTTTTGAGTCGAGTTGTATAAACTGCTAGTGGTCCGGTCTACGTGTTGTAGTTCCGGGACTAGAGACATACATTATGTTATTTTAATTAATGAGGTATTTCAGTTAGGTGTTTCATTGCAATTGTATACAGGGGATGTTTGATTAATTGATTAATAAGCAAGTTGGTAATGATAATGACATCATAATTGAAAAGAAAAAGATATTCCGCATTTTTAATTAAGCGCAGCTTAATACGATAGTATGATAACTTTACCGGATATATACGGGGTGTTACAGTATAGTTCCCCTGCATGCAGTCTTTTAGCGTGGTACTTGAAGGGTACAAGGGTGAAGATCTTAGCATCAAATTAGTGGCTGCAACCTTAGCTGAATTGGGGGTATTTTGGGTTACTACAAGAGGTATAAAAACTGAAAACCATGCTCTCATCCCTCTCTGTTTCGGTCTTGTATGCATCCTAGGAGGATGAATGCTTTTCATCCCCTTGTTTCCGTTTCCGTTTCCGTTTCGTTGAACAACAAGCCTCTGCGCTCCAAGTTCAAGGAATCGGTTTTGGAGCTTGAAAAAAAGAGCTTCCTTTTAATATTGATGGACTGCTCCCTGGATTAATCTAATTAATTAGACTTTGCATATGTTAAACTTAGTTGGACAGCATGCTTTTAGGTTCCCTTTGTAGCGCACCATGAATGGATTAGTTGAGTTTTGGAATAAACTATCCTTGATGTTTTACTTGGATAAACCGATTATGTTTTGGTGAACCTGGATATGTACTAAGTTCAATTTAAATTAAATAAACAGCATGTTGTTAGGTCCTCCTTAACGCATCCTTGGCCTCGTAGAGTTAAAATTGTGAATAAATGTCATGAGCTCTTTGTATGTGAAAACCGATTATGGGTGTTTCTGAAACCTTGGATTTCCGCTATTGGTTAGTGAATAAAAAAGGATGAAATTAGTATGCTAAAAACTTAATTTTTCTAGCCTAAGTAAAATGGGTAGTGTCTTGTTGATATAAAATTTTGGTGCACCTAGACTCTGGCTTAAAACGAATCTGACTATGTTGGAAGCTTTGAATTACTTTGTTGTTACTTTGCTGTGTGATGCCAGTGATTATGTTATGGGGGTAGTGCTAGGCCAAAGGAAAGACAAATTATTGCATGTCATTTACTATGCCAGTAAAATTCTTAATGAGGCACAAATGAATTATGCTACTGCAGAGAAAGAGTTATTGGCAATTGTGTATGCATTTGACAAATTCAGGTCATATCTGCTAGGGTCAAAGGTTATTGTTTACACTGACCATGCAACTTTAAAGTATTTGTTAACAATCCAGGATGCTAAGCCCAGGTTACTCCGATGGATGTTACTTCTGCAAGAGTTTGAAGTGGAAATCAAAGATAAAAAGGGAGTCGAAAACTTGGTGGCTGATCACTTATCCAGGATCACAGAGACAAATCTACAAGAGGGTCCGGAAGTGGTGATTAAGGAGGAGTTCCCTGATGAGCAAATACTGGCCATAAGCACTGTTTCCCAATTGGTGCAGGATCAAGTCTTAACAATTAATACTCCATCATGGTTTGCTGATTTTGCCAATTACAAAGCTGCTGGAGCCATGCCAAAGGATTTCACCTGGCAACAGAGGAAGAAATTTCTGCATGATGTGAGGAGATACATTTGGGATGAACCATACCTCTTCTATAGATGTTTAGATGGAGTAATCAGAAGATGCATTCGAGAGGAGGAACAAAAAATGTCTTATGGCACTGTCATGGTTCAGCCTATGGTGGACACTTTGAAGGTGAAAGAACAGCAGCCAAAGTTTTGATGAGTGGCTTCTATTGGCCCACATTGTACAAGGATGCTAGAAAATATGTGGAAGCATGTGACAACTGTCAGAGGACTGGTAACATCTCCAGGAGACATGAAATGCCTTTGAAAAATATACTGGAGGTATCTTTGATGTTTGGGGTATGGACTTCACGGGACCTTTTCCCTCTTCCTACTTAAACAAGTATATCCTGGTGGCAGTTGATTATCTGTCAAAATGGGTTGAAGCCATAGCCACACAAACTAATGACTCTCGGGTTGTGATTGCATTTATGAAAATGAACATCTTTGTGAGATTTGGAGTCCCAAGAGCTATAATCAGTGATGGGGGAACTTATTTTGACAACAGGTCGGTTGAGGCTGTCCTTGAAAAATATGGAGTCAGGCACAAGATAAGTACTCCGTACCATCCACAGACTTGTGGTCAGGTTGAGATTTCTAACAGGGAACTTAAACGTATATTGGAGAAGACTGTTGGAAATGTTATGACTCAATGGTCCAAGAAATTGATGACACTTTGTGGGCATATCGGACAACATTCAAGACTCCTATTGGAATGTCTCCATTTCAGTTGTTGTTTGGGAAAGCATGTCATTTTCCTGTGGGATTGGAGCATAGAGCATTGTGGGCTGTTAAGTTTTTAAACTTTGATTCAAAAGCAGCAGGTGAGAAAAGGCTACTGCAATTGGATGAACTAGATGAATTCTGTAACATCCCGTAAAATAATTAGGAACTTATATAAATTATCATTCATAATGTGGAAGCTTGACTTGTCATTCGAAATATATGCATATATATATATATATATATATATATATATATATATATATATATATATATATATATATAGTGTGAACTTAATTTAAATTAAGAACAACTTATACTAGATACAATTATGAGAGAGTTGTGTTCAATATTTTTACAGAATTCGAAACACTAAGCTATGAAGGGTAGGATTGATTTAATTCATAACATATAAATAAGACTACCTTAACTAAATTAAAGTTAAGTGTTGGGGCTAGGAGTTAGTAGGCTAGTACATGAAGAAATTAGCGAACCCTTTGGGAGAATTAGTTTTGGACCATTTTCCTTACAAGGGCGACGACCCAAACCTTCAAGAGGGGATTTGATTCAGCCCAACATAAACCTTGGCATACTATCTTCCATTAACCTATCTAGTAGAGAAATCTGAATACTACCTCCCATTGGGTAATAAGCTTCACACACTTATCCTTACATCTTCTAGTCATGCGCATGGAGTGGACCCAAAAGCAAGCTAATTGCTTGTAGCTTTAGACAACCCCTAGTCAGCCATGTCTTAGCATGCGTCCAATGGGAAGAGGGAAGTCAGCATGCATGTGTTTCCATTGGCTAAAAAGGATATCAGCCACTTTAATCCTTTTCCTTCTAGGCACATTGGTAGGAGGAAGAAATCTAGTCACTTGCTTTAGTAGCTAAACTTAACAGCCTTGTTTCTCATGCAACTAATGGGATTAAACGGAAATCTGAATGGGTCATCTATGGTTCAGCATCCAAAACCAAGAGCTCTCCATTACTTGTGCGCACCTATAGAGGAAGGAAGCTGATCCTTTCTTTCAAATTAAAAACCCTATACCAACCTTCTCATCTCATTCTCTCAAGACCGTTGCTACCTATCAAGGAAAACAAACCATAGTGCATCTCTTCCTCATTGCCTCCACAAGCCGTGAACACCATAGAGTGGTAAACCTCAAGAAAAATTACACACTATCCCCTCATCCTAGCAAGAAACCATGAGCTCCATGAACAAATATCACAACCCTTAAGGATCATTTTCCTCTCCCTTCTCTGTTTAAGGCCGCCAAACCACAAACATCAAGGAGCTGCAAATATGAGTTCTTGGAGAGTGGATAGTTCCCCTGCATGCAGTCTTTTAGCGTGGTACTTGAAGGGTAGAAGGGTGAAGATCTTAGCATCAACTTAGTGGCTGCAACCTTAGCTGAATTGGGAGTATTTTGTGTTACTACAAGAGGTATAAAAACCGAAAACCATGCTCTCATCCCTCTCTGTTTCGATCTTGTATGCATCCTAGGAGGATGAATGCTTTTCATCCCCTTGTTTCCGTTTCTGTTTCGTTGAACAACAAGCCTCTGCGCTCCAAGTTCAAGGAATCGGTTTTGGAGCTTGAGAAAAAGAGCTCCCTTTTAATATTGATGGACTGCTCCCTGGATTAATCTAATTAATTAGACTTTGCATATGTTAAACTTAGTTGGACAGCATGCTTTTAGGTTCCCCTTGTAGCGCACCATGAATGGATTAGTTGAGTTTTGGAATAAACTATCCCTGATGTTTTACTTGGATAAACCGATTTTGTTTTGGTGAACCTGGATATGTACTAAGTTCAATTTAAATTAAATAAACAGCATGTTGTTAGGTCCTCCTCAACGCACCCTTGGCCTCGTAGAGTTAAAATTGTGAATAAATGTCATGAGCTCTTTGTATGTGAAAACCGATTATGGGTGTTTCTGAAACCTTGGATTTCCGCTATTGGTTAGTGAATAAAAAGGGATGAAATTAGTATGCTAAAAACTTAATTGTTCTAGCCTAAGTAAAATGGGTAGTATCTTTTTGATATAAAATTTTGGTGCACCTAAACTCTGGCTTAAAACGAATCTGACTATGTTGGAAGCTTTGAATTACTTTGCTGTTAACTAGTTGTTAATTGAATATGAAGCCAGAAATTTGTTTAAGGAAAAAGCATGGTAAAACCGAACCTATATATGTGGTGAGTCTTGGAAAAATGGTAATTTCTAGCAAGGAATGAAATGCTCTTAAGGGCAGAATATAAATAACACTAGGAACCGTGTAATATAATGAAAGTACATGATTTAGGAGCTTAGAAATCATTGGGATAATTGTATGAAATTCTGATTTGGTACGTTGATATATTAGGTGCGCATAAACATTGAGACTTTGGATTATTTCGGTGGCTGCCTGGTAAATTAATTGTGACGCGCGAGGTAAGTGTTTGGTGGTATTACCTAATGTGACTATTAGCTAGCGTATAGAATTGTGAATGGTTGCTCACACGTGCCTTGGATTAATGTGCTGTTATATGCTATATATATATGCTGCCTATGAATGTGACAAGATGGAAAATCATGAATGAGAAGTAACTGTTATGTGGCAGCTTGGTACGGAAAGTACATGAAAGATATGCTATTATGATGATGATCAGTCGATATACACCTCATAATTCATTTGTTTCTTGTTGTGTGTGAAGCATATCATGGCATACATGCACGAATTTCATGTTGTTCATGGATTAGAAGATTTATATAAATATGCATACGATTGAGCACGCATCATATAGGCATCCCTTCGGTACCAGGGTATGGGACACTTGGCTTCCGTCCGCATAGGTCACAGTTGGAATTCACCTTTGAGGGAGCCATTATGGAATATCCATTGTGTATGTACGTGCACGACGGTGCTATGAGCATAATGATGGCGTTATATACGCATATCATAGTACGCGCACGAAAGTGCTATGAGCGTAATGATGGCGTTATATACACACTATGATATGTTAACGGAAAATGAAATGTTGATGTGACTGTTTATAATTTTGTGCCTAGTTTAATATTGTTGCATTATTGGTTTTGCTATCACACTACTGGGATTTTTCTCACCCCTTTGGGGCTGCAAATTTTATAAAATTGCAGGAGGACGAAAGAGCATATGAGGACATGGATTATTTGGATATTTACTGTTAATTGCTGCTGTTTGGACTTGCTGTTATTTTGTCTGTTGGATGACGTTGGATGACTGTACTATTTTAATGTGGAGAACCTTAGACTACTGTTGGAACCATGATTTTATTACTGTTGTGAGACTTTTATGATTATCTATTACTTTGGAGAAATTCTGAAAACGTTTTGCGAAAATAATTTCTGAACGTTTATTTAGTGCTAATTTATAAACAGTTTTGCGAACACTTTGCGAGTTATGTTTCGAGGGGAAAACGACCTCCGATTTGCTATTATTTTATATGCACACGAAGCCCCAGACGTGCTCTTTCTATATTACAAAGAATATTTTTGTGGATGGTTGAACTTGATTTTATACGAATATTTCAAGATAGCAATGTCCACCAGGAAAATAATATTTTCAGCAAGTTAAGAAATTTTGAAAGTATACTCTGATTTTTGTAAGTAACCCAATTTCAATTATAAGTTTTAATTAGCAACATCAAAATGATTTTCAGTTGTTAAAATGACGTCGAAAATTCTAATTCCGCTTAGCAATGGGAGGATATCACTGGCATTCCTGTGGTGAGAGAATTCCTCGAGGTGTTTCCTGAGGAGATTCCTCAGTTTCCACCACAGAGGGAGATAGAGTTCTCCATTGATTTGTTGCCTGGTGTGGGGCCTATTGCATTAGCTCCATACCAGATGTTCCGCCAGAAGTAGCTGAGCTGAAGAATCTTGTTGGGAGTCTTTCGGCGAAAGACTTTATCCGACCGAGCGTATCTCTTTGGGAAGCACCGGTCATTTTGTTGAGGCAAGAGGCCTTACGCCATTACTTAAGCGTGATGGTGCTCTGCTTGAGGATATGAAATTCTCTTCAGGGAAACTGAGTGTGTAACACTTAGAATTGGTGGCAAGGCCACGTGTGATCTTGTATATGCAAGGCAGTGCATGTGCAAGTAGTGGTGAGTTGAGTGGTCTCCATGACTCTAGGATTTTTATGTGATTATTGATATATGTCATGAGTAGTTGACATGTTAACTCCACGGATAGTGTTAAGCATGAAATAAGTATGATGAACTGTGGTAATATATCAATGTTATTTCACCTTTGACTGACTCTCGATTTTGCAGATACCATGGAGATTGAGGTATACTGTTACTTAGAGTTGTTAGCTATTATGTTATTGGAATTGAAAATTTTGCAGGTGTACATGAACTAAGGTATGTTACTATGTGCATGAGTTGGTTAACTAACACGGATTGGTGGAATTGAACATGATGATGACTTAGTACTTTGAAATGAATAAGAATTTATTTTGAGTATATTGTTTATATTGCTAGTCTTGTTGAGGTTAGAGTCATGGAATAAGACCCAACTCACTCGAGTGTTGTGTAGTTTAGAGTTGTGGGGTAGGTCACCTCTATTGGGGGAATGACTGATGATCCCAGAGAACCAGATGACGTCGTGACGTCATTGGGGAACTTCGAGTTCGGACGGTGACCTCTTTGTTTGAGGATGCACTTCTCGAGATGGAGACTGTGAGAGTCAAGAAGGAGCTTATGGAGAAGGTCCACAAGACGCTAGTGCAGAGAGGGTGTCTCGACTACGTGAAGAACCAAGATGGTGTGTCTTGGAATGAAGACGGACATAGCGGTGTATGTGCCCATGTGTTTGTTCTGCTTGAAGTGAAGATTGAACACCTGAAGCCGTTGGTAAGCTTCAACCTCTTGAGGTATTGCAGTGGAAGCGGGAAAGTATTTCCATGAACTTCGTGATGGGACCCAGGTTAGTAATGACTCTTTTGGGTCATCGTGGACAGATTGTCTAAGTCTGCCCACTTTCTTCCGGTAAAGGTGAGCTTCTCGTCAAAGCAGTTGGTCAAACTGTCGTTCGCGAGATTGTGAGTCTTCACGGGGTGTCCGAGATTATCTTCTGTGTCAGGGACCCGAAGTTCACATCTCGGTTAGGGGAGGCACTGCTAAGAGCTTTTGGGACTCAGTTGAGACTGAGTACAACCAATCACCCTCAGACTGTTGGACAGACTGAGCGGACCCTATCTTGGAGGATATGTCGAGGGCATGCACCTTGGAACAGGGCCCCGCATGAGATAGGTACCTGTCATTGGTAGAGTTTTGTGGTTGTGTGTTCCTTGCTAGCCTGGGCATGGGACCCTACGAGGTGCTGTTTGGTAGGAGGTGTAGAACTCCTACCTGTTGGTCTGAGATTGGAGTTAAAAAGAGTTGTTTGGATTGGACCTTGTCCGATTTACCATCTGTCGGGACAGATGATCAGAGGAAAGCTGATGCAGGCGTTGAGTCGTCAGGAGGACTACGTTGATGTTGAGCATCGTTCACTGGAGTTCGGTAAGGGTGAGCACGTGTTTGTGAAGCTTTCACTGTCACCGGTGTTGTTCGGGCACTTGGAGTGAGGAAACTGAGCCCGCGGTTCTTTGGGCCATACCAATTACGTGGTAGAGTAGGATCTGTTTCCTACCGGTTTACCTTGCCTTCGAACTTGGACAGCACCCAAGACGCGTCTCACGTGTCTCAACTTCGCAAGTTTGTAGCGGATCCTTCGCACATGGTGCAACCGGATGTTGTGAAGGTTCAGGAGAACTTGAGAACTCCCGTCAGACCACTAAAGATTCTCGATCGTGGCGAGAAGCAGCTGAGGAGCAAGATCATTTCGATGGTCAAAGTACGTTGAACGGGAAGAATTCCTGAAGGGTAATCCTAGGAGTGAGAGGACGAGCTTCTCTAGCGGTATCCCGCGCTTCTGTATAGGTATGTTTTCTGATTTTAAGGACAAAATCCTTAAAAAATTGGGGTGAATGTAAGAACCCGCACTGTTAATAAAGGAATTTAATTAATTAATATTGAGAAAATAGGAAATGATTCCATAATTGACCCTAATAATTATTATGAGGCTCTAATAATTATGGTAAGTGATTAAGAATGCTGAAAGTCGCTTTTCGGAAGAAAAGTGCAGATACCGGTTCTGCTAGTCGGTATAAATGCGTACCGAAAAAGTATCCCGGAAAATTATAATAAGTGCATGATAATTACTAGAATAATTTATAGGACTTGTAAAACGAGTTTCAAGTCCAAATAATGAGAACTGGTGCCAGAATCTGATACTGGCTATGAAAAGCGCGTACCGAAAAGGTGCTCAGAAAAATATATGAAAAATATGATAAATCTTGTAAAATTGAGTAGGTTAAGAATCCCGTATATATATATATGGCTTTTAGGCACAAAACCCTAGGCCATACACTCTTGTACGTGGATGCCTTGAGGGTGGCTGATCAGCTTGTGCATTTCTCCTTACCTCTTCACCATTTTGAGGGTTTGTGACCTTTTCCTTCATTTCTTCTCCTCTTTGGTTGGGGAAATACTTGGGTGAGTGCCTTGGGAGGTTGAGGTTCAGCTCTTGCTGAGTAGATGGTGCTGTTTGGGGAGAGTTTGAGGGCTGACTTTGTTTGTTTGGGTTGGTGGAGCCATTTTCATGGCATTTGGAGGTCCAAGTGGTGGCCTTTGGTGATAAAGAACCAACCTTGGAGGTGTCATTTTCGTGCTCTGTGTATAGCCAGTTGTTGGGAGCCTCTAGTGAGCTCCAAGAGCACTTCTTTTTCTGTGTGAAGCTTGGGTGAGTGGTTCAACACTTTAACTTGAATTCTTGAGCTTAAAAATAGAACCTTGATGCATCTAAAGGCTAAAAGATGATAACTTAACGTTGGGTAATGTCAAACACACCTAGAAATGCATGTTTAAGTGTTTATAATCGTTAAAAACCCAACCTTGGAAGGATATCTTCATGAAATACAGTTTCTGCATTCTGTCGTGAAATATATGGATATCTGCCCGTGAAATATCCGGATATTGGATATCCTGATATGGTGATTTGGATATCCGGATATTGGATATCTGGATATGGGAATCTGTATATCCCGATATGGACAGTGAAATATCCGGATATTGCATATCCAGATATGTACCCGTGGAATATCCAGATATTCTGGAATTTCGTAGAACAGTAGCTGTGTTGTGTGTATACAGTAGGCTATTGGGGGTTTGTGGACCCTAGATTGATGAAGTTGAACTTCTGTTTTAATTGAACTAAGTCTGAATCATGTGATTAAGGGCTTATGGCTTGTGAGAAGCCTTAAGACATAATTCGTAATATGAAAACGTAGTCTTTATGTTTACGCTTTTGAGCTATAAGTGTTGATATACTTGTTGGTCCTAAATCAGATTGTGATCTGATGTGTGTTGGACTTTGAGCTTGTGGCTTTGGATAACTAGCTTAGAGGTAAGCTTTTGTGTCCTCTGTTTAGCCATTGTTGGTTCCACCATGTCCCATGGGGGTATGGTTATATGCATGATGTTGTCTTCATGTACTGTTTTATTGAAATGCTATGGAGCTGTTAAGTGCAATTGCTGTATGATATTTATGTGGTGTTTGCCTTAAAGGGAAACCATGGGGTGGCCCTTTGGAGGTGGGTACAGCATGGGCTGGTATTGTGTGGGTAATAAACGTATTCCTGCATTTCTCTTATCAGTAGAATATTTATAACCCACATGACATGATTATCTGCTGCATTGCACTATTTTGGAAATTATATTGTTAAATTGCTTTTGAACTCATATTGCACATGATGTAAGTGAGCTTGGGGTGGAAGATCCTTGAGGACCCCTTGTCTTATTGAGATTTCTGTTAGAGATCTCACCCCACGTTTGGGGTGCTTATTTCAGGTTCAGGTAATGTTGAGACCTCAGGCGGCAGGAGGCCGGAGCTGAGTTAGAATTGCTGTTATTTTATGCTGACTTGTTGGATGCTGGTTATGCATGCTGCTTTATGTTTTTAGCTTCAGTTTATGATTGTATATCATCTTGTTGAGACGTTGTTGATTTGGTGAGCATGGGGATTGTCCATTACACATAGTCTTGTTTATGTCTTGTTTTATTTGGAGTTGTAATAATGTATCAGGATTATGGTCCTGACTACGAGTTGTAGATCCGTGATTTTAGATACACACTTTATTTATATATTGAGGTATATCAGTAGATGTCTTATTGCAAATTACATACAGGCGATGTTTTTAATGAAATTGATTAAGTAATCAACTTGGTTAAGTATATGACGCCATAATTGAAAAAAGAAACAG